CACACACACAGGAGGAAGGGGAAAGAGAGGCAGCAACTTGTACAGATTGTCTGTAAGTTATAAGGATTTGACATCATTTTGCAGGTATACGGACATATAGAGCAATCTCACAGATTTTTTCAAGTCTTACGCATATTTTAAAAACCTCATTTTCAAATTTATCTAACATGTCAGAGCCTATAGGATGATTTAAAAAACAATAAATAACATCAAACAGCCATCTTCCAACCTGTTCTGCCGCTGGAAATGTTACTTTCCCTCTCTCCTTTCCTCCTGCTTCGCATGGTCACTCTCCATGTAGCATCAATTATGCTAATGCTAGCTGCCTGTGTTCTCTTGTCCTGGCCACACCTCCGCTCCCTAACCTCCTCCCCTACCCACTTTGATGCATTTTTCAAATTTCGCCTTGGGGCGGAGTTATCTTTTCACAGGGGGGTAAGTTACACTTTAAAAGTTTCAAATCATGATATTTATTGAAATGAACAAAACTGATGAGTTACTTTAGACCTGCCGTTTTGTTCAACAAGTACACACATTGTTGAAATGAAAGAATGGGGGCATGGTTGGATGAAACAGGGTTGCTGTGTGAAATGAATCAATATTCTGTCCATTTTTACCTCCCAGAGCCTGCTGAAGCACAGAAACCCTAAAGATAGATGTCAGTGTACACAAACAAACAAACAAACAAACAAAAACAAGTCACAACAGTTGCATAAATGTACAGAGACATTTTTAAAAAACTCTACATTAATTAGCAAAAAGACAAAATAGCAGGCTCATATCATTGATGTAAAATGTTCAGAAGCAAGAAGAAACATTTAGTTTGAGTGTTATTTGCTCCAGAAGCAGACAGCGATGAGGATGTTAAGGATTAGATTAGGAGCTGGCATGGATGAGCACCACAGGACATACAGTACAGAGGGGTGCAAAGGTTTGGGCAGCCTTGTTAATTTTCATGATTTACCTTTATGAATCTTTGATTGTTTGGATAAAACACATCAGTTAAATTTATCATATGGGGACAAACACAGTGAAATCTGAGAAGTGAAATTCACTGTAAGTGAAATTATAGTGTTATCAGGCAGTTGCTGGAGCATCCAACAGACACTCAGAAAGTAAGTGAAGGATGGCAGAGATTGATGGAGGTGTCAGTGTTTACACTAGCGTTGGGCATAATCGTATCGTCTGCAATAAATCAGAAAAACATTAATCGATTACTTTTTGGCACTTGACGATTAATATGATTAATGACACCAGGCAGACTGACTGGAGATTACTGCGGTCAGTCTGCTCGCTGCTCCTCTCTGCTTCAAATATGAACATTAAAAATAAAGTTCTGTCATTTATTTATCTATCAACACAATTTAAAATATGATGTACAGCCTGAAATCTGTAATTTTCACACAGTTTGGAACAATTTTTTTACAAAGAGCAAATCTTTTCCACTACATTGGTCATGTGACTACAAAATAAGGGCGTCCAGGGACTCCAGGGGATTAATCGTCAAATTATTCATTATCGGCTAAATACCACAATTAATCGTGATGAATTTTTTTTGCCAATATTGCCCAACCCTAGTTTACACGAGGCTGGAGCCCTTGGGTATGTGAGGTTCTGGCAGTTTGAAGCAATGAACACTGAGAGGAAAGCACACAAAGCACCACAGGTCTTCAAGACTTCATCAGAGCTCTGGAGGAACATCAGTGACATCCTGCATCCTCATGTCTGACCCTTCTTCAGCCACAAACCTGGCACTATCTTTGAATAAGACACCAATCCACACAGAAAACGTGTTAAGATGTAAAGCTTTATATTTGCTGCCAAGTACCACAAATAGGTAATGATTTTTGAATACTTAAAGTCCAGCTAGAATGGACAAATTTAAACATTTAACATGACAATCACAGTCCTCTTTTCTTTTTTTAAAATCACCAGCACCTGTTATTGATTCACCAAGTAGTGTTTTTATATTAGATCATCTGCAAAACTGACCACTTTATAATCATTTTAGCGTTAGTTTTGTCAATTAGCTGTGGTGGCCATCTTAAAAATGGACTCACTTTAAATGTTTTCAGTTGTAGACATACATCCACAGATTACTCTCTGAGTTTCTAAGCAGTGTTACATGAGATATTCTGCCAACAAACAAACATGACTGTCTGTCTTTGCTTTTCAGAAGTGGGTGATAAAAATAAAGTAAAACTTTTAAAGAATGCTTATTAGTAGTATTCAGTGTTTCATAAATACTTGCCTTAACAGCCGCAGAGACAGCAGCAGTAGCTGCAATGGTCAGTCCCTGCTTACCAAAGTTCACCATGGTTTCGTAGCTCCTCTCTTTTGCCTGCACAATATATTCATCTATTTCCTGGATAGAGACAAAAACATTTTGAGTGGGTGGTCCATTCAGCTTTAAAAGACAAAAATGATTAAATGACAATCAATGAGCTTACTTGCTCCCTTGAGGAGAGCAGGGGGTGCAGACACTTCCTGTAAATGAGACTTGCTCCTCTGGTGTAGGGGGACAGCAGCCAGATCACAAAAGCTATTTTCAGCTCATAGTACAGAGGGAACCTGGAAACAAGGACAGGGAACATCCCAGAACAGATCATTACTTGTCCCGGTGTTCTGACAGTGACCTGGGTTAGGGTTAGAGTAGCATACTTCTCTATAAAGTGTGTTTTATATACAATAAATAGGCTTAGCTGTAAGAACAGCAGACCCCTTTGCAAACATTGGTATGTTGTTCCGATAAAGTAACTTAAACTGACGGAGCAATAAAATTCAACTTCTAGTGCACTATTCTGACAGAGTCTGCCACTTTGACAGAACACCGGTCCTTTTTCACCACATTTACCACCGATCAAAACTCAGTGCATTTTCTAAACTGTACTGGTGTACTCTTGGTTTTAAAAAAGGCTGAAAACCACAACTCTGTGGTCCTGATAAGAAGCCAAACAATAAAATCAGAAGTTTGTTTGGTGTTGGTAACAGCTGTGAAATGTTTGTTTTGTTATGATAGTGAGAAGCTGAGTGTCTGTGGTTTCTGTGACCAGATCTTCAGACTTGCACAGTTGCTGAGGGGGTTTGAGAGCTTCACTCTCGAGTCGATGTGTGTTTGGTGGATCAGGAGAAAACTTAAGGCTGGTTTATGCTTCCAGTCACATGTCTTGTTCCCCTGCTGAGTGACAAAAATAGCGTAATTTCTGTCTGTTCTCCAGGTGCTATCCCTCGGTGACAGCCGACGTGTACAGTGCACCCAGTCAGAACTCTGCAACACAGACGTTGCGGCTCGAAACGTGTGATTGGTCAGAACTTCATGGGTGTGTTTGTTAATGAAGAACAACACAGCACTGAGGAGCAGGACCAGAGCAGGACCACAGCAGCTCTTTCTTCTGCATGTTATCTTTTCTCTGAAGCCTGTTGCTAAATTAGCTAAAGAGAAACTGGTTTGATCCTACTGAAAGTGAGCATGCAGCTGATGTTCACGTTTTTTTCCATCACCACCGTAATGCTGCATTCACACTGAACACATTTTCAGCGCCAATGCTTCAAGTTAGATGCTTGTGCACTTTGAGGTCAGATGCTCGTCACGCGCGTTGGGAAGAGCCTCTTGATTGTTTTTCTCTGCTGGTTGTTCTACTTACTGAGAGCACGTTGCACTCAATTCATAATTAATTCACCAGATAATTGAGACATTTTTTTAGTTTGGTGACTTTCACCAGTCCAGGAGCTGCGAGCTGACGAGGCTCGCATTCAGAACTATTTTTGTCTCAAGCCCAGTTTGACGAGCTGCTGACCCTTGACGCTTTGGATGAGCATGTCAAACACTCACAATGCTCCACACACACAGCATTAGATGTGCTGCAGCACTTACTGACACTGCTTTACACCCGTTAACCATAGACTTTACATGTAAACCTGACTTTTAAAGGCTTTCTGATACTTGTATAACCAAAGTAAAGCCAGGTTCACACCAAACGCGTTTTGAGCAGCAAAACTGCACCCAACGCCTCAAGTTGGACACGCTACGTTTAGACCGGAACATCGACTAGACGCACATCTGAGTGGCGGACGAAATAAGGATGAAAAAGAAAATGGCTTTGTTTATTTTACACAGAGCAAGCGAACGCTCAGCAGATAATTAATTCACCAGATAATTTAGAGGTGGTCTGTTCGGTGAGTTTCACCACTCCAGGAGCTGCGAGCTGACAAACTATTTTCTTTGTACCGAGCCCAGTTTAACACCGCGGTCAGTTCAACGAGCTGCTGACCCACATTGGTGCTGAGAAAATCATCACAGACTCCACGCACCCAGGCCACAACATGTTCCAACTCCTCCTGTCTGACAGACGTTACACACAATACTGTCCACTAAAACTGTCAGACACAAGAACAGGTTCTTCCCCCAGGGCATCAGCATCATCAACAGATGATCATCCAACATCCATCAGCTGGATCATTTATTCTACACTATGGAGAACTATCCATCACACTTATTATACATTACTGCACCTTACTCATAATCAGCCACCTCTACACTGCTGCTGTTGTAATAAAATTTAATATTCACTCTGCATACCGCTGTCATGTTGCTTTTTGTGAATAACACTGTAAAGCACACCTCACAGATACAGTATATCCTGGTATAGTGAAGTATAATGTGTATCTTTCTGTATATTGTGTACTATGCGTAAATATGTAAATTATCTACACGAACAGCTGGAAACAAATTCCTTGTGTGTGTCAACATACTTGGCCAATAAAACCTGATTCTGATGTCTCCAGCCAGGACACCAACTGCAGATGGAAAGAGCTCCTGTCTGTCTGTGTCAGGTTAGTGGGTAACATTCAGGAAACCGTCACATGGGCAAATGAGTCTCTCTGATTAGTTGACGCAGCGGCAGCATGGTGGCTCGGTCGGTAGAGCTGATGCCTCTCAACAAGAAGGTCCCTGGTTCAAATCCTGGCCCAGGGACCTTTCTGGGTAGGGTTTGCATGCGTGGGTTCTCTCCGGGTACTCCAGCTTCCTCCCACAGACCAGAAACATGACTGTTCGGTTAATTGTTAACTCTAAGTTGTCCCTAGATGTGAGTGAGACAGTGAATGGTTGTTTGTCTCGTTTGTCTCTACGTGTGGCCCAGGGGTACAGCCTGTGAGTCCAGGATGTACCCCGCCCCTCGCACTGTGGTTGCTGGATTTGGGCACCAGTGACACCTGTGACGCTGAAAGGAATAAGTGGGTATAGATAATGGATGGATATATGGATGGTTGACGCGGCGCGTCGAGCAGCAAAAGCTCAATTTTTTTTTTTACTCGAGCGTCAGCTACTTTGGATGCACTGCATGCATGGAAAACACTGTAACGCACCTACCGCTACCTTGCACTAAATGGGCCGCGCTGCTCCTAGACTTTACATGTAAACTGGCTGCTTTGGCTGCTCAAAACGTATCCGGTGTGTACTCGGCTTAAGAGCCGTTTCTGCTTCTTTGGCCCAAAGACATGTTAGTGCTGTTTGGACCCCACTAAGAATGTATTTTTGTCTCTGATCCTGTTTGTGAAGTTTATGGACAGGATCACCACGAACAATCATGGAGAGGATGGTGTCAGGTTTGGGGATGTCAGGGTCGTGTCTCTGCTCTTCGCAGATATTGGGGTTCTGTTGACATCTGTAACCCATGACCTTCAGTGTGCACTGGGTGAGTCTCAAGTGGAGGTCATGTTCTGAAGTGACAGCAAGGTGGAGCAAGAGTTATAATGATGGAACATGACTTTGTCTGGTGGTAAGGAGGACACTGCTCTAGTTTTGTCAAAGTTTGATTCCAATTAGTCACCTGCTAAAGCAATGATAAGATAATATTGGTTAAATTAAAGATCCTCTACAGCAGTGTTTAACTTGAAAGCTCTAAAATTGCCAGGGGATGTTGAGGATTTAATGGTTAGAGGCTGTCAATATTTAGCCTATTATTTCATGCATGTTGTAGCAACAAGTATGAAAATTAAAACTTAATAACTATTAAATAATTGGAGTTATGAATATGTTGTTGGAAACAAACCTACTTTTTACACGTGCCTGTGTGTTTCTGTAACTTACCATGCAAGTGTCATGTCTGTGATGGTCTCCACGACTGTATACAGAGCAAACACAATCCAGTACATCATCCAGCGCACCTACACACAAGAAACAATGATGTACAACAAGAACTACTTAAATTACATATAACTGAACTGAACTAGTTATCTGCATTACTAGATATTTGTTTCCTAAAGTACAGTTACTATTTTTCCTTTTACAATCTGGACTATAACTAAGTCCAATTTACCAAATTTCCCTCTGGGATCAATAAAGTATTTTTGAATTGAATATCTAGTTGTATAGAATTGAGTCTTACGATTGAAAAAATTAACTGAAACACTGCTCAAAGTTGAAAAATTTTAATACTTTATTTTTGATTTTTTTATACAGAACAGCAACGAGAAAGAAGAAAGAAATAATACTAACAAGAGTAAAAAAATAAAAAGATAATAAAAATAATAATACATTAAAAAATAGTCACAACAAGGACATTAAACAGCAGTCTGAACAGTGAGGTCACAGGGAGGGAGACAGCTACACTTCACAAAAAGATCAAACTGAAACTGATAAATCCTGACAGTCGGGTTACTGTAGATGTAAAGTTTCATGAAGACTCAGACAGGTGAGAGATTTACCAAGTCATGCAAATCTGCTCTGCACCTAACCTCAGATTTCATCCTTAATAATGATTTGTGATACTCAGCTTACTATCCACTTCCTATATGTAAACCATTTCAACAAGTGTTTTGTGATTTTGTTTTCCTGGAGTCTTAGGGAAAAAGAAAGCATTTCCATTTCACATATTTCTTCTACTGTGGCTAAACAGTTCCTCAATGTTGGTGGGCTCCCACTAAGCCACTTTCTTGTTTTGGATTTCTTACTTGCTATTAGTAGTATTTTCAAAAAGGTACTTATCCTGTGTTGAGTTCACTTGGTAAATTACCCAGATATATAGTTTTAAAGTTATGCTTTATTTCAAATTCAAGAWTTTTTCTTATCTCTTTGGTAACCTTTGACCAATAGGAATAAATCAGTGGGCAGCCCCAGAAAATGTGGAAGTGGTCAGCCATCACATTATCACATGGTCTCACACAGTGCCTGATTCGGTCCTGCCGGTCTGACAGAATGTTCTTTTGGGGGTTATAAAAAAGATCTAACAATATTCTTCCATGAAAATCGCCTCCAATGTTCTGAGCTCGTGGTTCAAAGTTGAAATTAATACTTGAAAAGTATTAAGTATGAAATTCTTAACCCTCAGCAACAGTATCCAACATGGCATGAAAAGCAGGGATATTTGAAGTATTTTTTAATTTCACTTCATTAGGGCTTGCATCTCGACAGCTAGTCAAAAAAGTTTGATGTTATCAGATCAAAGTGCTCAGTCTGGTCACTGAACAGTAAACTAGCAAATCCAACTGCTTTTCGGCTGTTTGAACACCTGGTCCACCATCTGGCGTCTCGGGGGGAAAGCGGTTCACCACCAACACTATGGTGCGGATGGTGCGCTGCTAACCTCATACTCGAATTCAGTAAGAGCAGTGTGGTTTTCACCCTGGTCATGGAACAGCGGACCAGCTCTACACCCTCAGCAGGGTCCTGAAGGGTGCATGGGAGTTCGCCCAAGCAGCCTACATGTGTTTTGTGGACTTGGAGAAGGCATTTGACCATGTCCCTCTGAGACTCCTGTGGGGGGTACTCCGGGAGTATGGGGTACCAGGCCTGTTCATACAGGCTGCGTAGGTCCCTGTACAACCGGTGCCAGAGCTTGGTCCACATTGCTGGTAGTAAGCTGGACTCGTTTCTGGTGAGAGTTGGACTCCGCCAAGGTTGCCCTTTGTCACTGATTCTGTTCTTAACTTTTATGGACAGAATTTCTAGGAGCAGCCAAGGTGTTGAGGGGATCCGTTTTAGTTACCTTAGGATCACGTCTCTGCTTTTTGCGGATGATGTTGTCCTATTGGCTTCATCAGATCCTGATCTCCAGCTCTCACTGGAGCGGTTCACAGCCGAGTGTGAAGCAGCCAAAATAAGGATCAGTGCCTTCAAATCCAAAACCATGGTCTTGAGCCGAAAACCAGTAGGGTGCTTTCTCCGGGTCAAGGAGGAGGTCCTGTCCGAAGTAGAGGAGTTTAAGTATCTTGGGGTCTTGTTGACGAATGAGGGAAGAATGGAGCTGGAGATCGACAGGTGGATTGGTGCTGAGTCTGCAGTGATGCAAGCGCTGTACCGGTCTGTCATGGTGAAGTGAGAGCTGAGCCAGAAGGAGAAGCTCTCGATTTAACGGTCGATCTACGTCCCTACCCTCATCTATGGTCATGAGCTTTGGGTAGTGACGAAAAGAACGAGATCGTGCATTCAAGCAGCCAAAATGAGTTTCCTCTGCAGGGTGTCTGGGCTCTCCCTTAGAGATAGGCTGAGAAGCTCAGTCATCCAGGAGGGACTCAGAGTAGAGCCGCTGCTCCTCCACGTCCAGAGGAGCCAGGTGATGTGGCCTGGGCATCTGATTAGGATGCCTCCAGGACGCCTCCCTGGTGAGGTGTTCCGGGCACATCCCACTGGGAGGAGACCCAGAGGAAGACCCAGGACACGCTGGAGGGACTATGTTTCTCAGCTGGTCTAGGAACACCTTGGGCCAGACAAGCTGGCCCAAGTGGCTGGGGGAGAGGGAAGTCTGGGTCTCTCTGCTTAGGCTGCTGACCCCGCGACCCGACCCCGGATAAGCAGAAGAAAACGGATGGACGAAGTTCCAACATTAAAAATAAATTATATAGTATAGTGTATAGTATATAATTTAGTGCTCAAAGATCTAAAGATCTAAGATGTGAGTTTTACAAAACTAAATGCACTTTAGAAGAGATCTTTTTGGAGAAAAGTCAAAAAAGGAAGAGATAACTTTTTCTTTTGTTACTAATTTAAACTAATATACAGAATATAAGAGTAAAAAAAACTACTTGAAAAAGTAAAACATGAAGGATTTACTGTAATGACCTATTAAAATGTTCTTTCTCCCTTTGTTTTGTCATCAGTAAAGACAAACTGAGGCACAAAATGTTTATTCTTTTTGCAGTCTATTCTGTTTTGTTACTACCCTGACCCTCTTCAGGGCTTTTTCTGGCTGGATTTCCATTTTAAAAAGGCAAGAGTAGACCGTGAAAGGCAGGCAGGCAGACATTCACATGGTAGGCTCGATGAACACACACTGAAAACACCTAATAAAATGTAAGTGCACGTGTGGGTGGATAAGTGAGAGGGCAAACAGTTTGTTCTTCAAAGTAGAAGAACAAGAAAGAAAGAAACACAGACAACTGTCAAACCCACAGACACCTAAATACTAATCAAGATTTCAAACCAAACAGGTTCCAGTTAATGAAGGATTAGTACCAGTAAATTGCTTCACCTCGTTACTCAGTTTTTGTTCTGGGGAGGGACAAATTATTATAAAACATATTTAATGATCATCTCCCTTTTTAGCAGCATTTAGGTTTGAAATGCCTTCAGTAGTATTTAACTCCCATGAGTAACTCCTGTCATACAGCTTCCACCTGGGATTGTTTATCACCTACATTTTGATGATGATTCAGGTCATATATTTCAGACTTAATCTCCATTTTCTTCATGACCCATCAGAACACGGTTTGCAATCATGATGCTGCTTATAGCTCACCATAAAAATTCTTACCATTTTTGATTGATTGATTGATTGCATTTCATGACAGTTCCAGCAAGTGATGATTTTAAACTGTTTATGTAGAAGTGATGTGATGCATTCTGGGTACAGGATGGAGAACAGGAAACAGTCTTCACTTCAAACTAAGAGCATAAATTTAAACTGTTCCCTACATGCATGTGTAGCTTGGAATAAGCCTACTTCAAAGTCCCTCTGAAATGCCGAAATCAGCTCGGATTGTTGCAGTTTCATGACGAAAATTATGTAACCATGTTTCCCATGTCGACTCTGACGTCCCTTTTGTCACAACTCACCGACAAAACATTTTACCCCCCTCCACATAAGAACTCATTGTGTGATTTGATCAGAACTTTGTGGGTGTGTTCATGCTGTGAGCGTTCAGACGCTGCATTCTGCTTCAACCACTCGCTTTCACAAAAATAAATAAATAAATAAATAAATAATGACTCGCTTCCAGTAGCCAACTGTTGTGTCCAGAAGCAGACCTTTATAAAGACAGTCAAATGGTCAAAAACTAATGGATGGAGATAAAACAGATGTGGTGCACGGAGGAATCGGACTGATAAAAACTGTGGAGCTTTAACAAAGACAGACTTGTGCACAAATAACGTCGGGTGACGGGTCTAGCGGTTTCCCGGGAGCTTGGCACGATGTGTCTCAGGGGCTATGACAGGTGTGTGCAAAAAAGAACGCAGAACAACCACGTGACCGCGCGTCGACTGTTCGGCTTCAGTTGGACTATGTTCAGCTCGAGTTAGAGTTGGGCGATTATTTGATCATGATTATTAATCGAGAAAAATTCAGGTCGATCACGGTGATCAGCTGTGAGCCTATTACTCAATCAAACATGGCGGAAATGTGGGTGACAACAGCCAATCAGAATCCACCTTCTCCTGCTCCACTTCTGTTTATAAGCTGCTAATGAAACACAGACGGAATCACGGAATTAACTTAAACAAAGTAATCCAGTATAAAATGCTGAATCTCACAGAGTTCGCTTATTTGGGCGAGTTGCTGAGATATTTTGGCTGCTGTCACTTTCTGTACCTGCTACCTGCTAACAGGTGAGCTCTGAGCTCCATTC